GGGGGGGGGCTGTTCTTCCACACAGTCGTTAAATCCTGCAGGTTTCCTTGGGCCCCTGCTTTGAACTCTGACCTTTAGTTCTTTCCATAGATTTGGATTCAGGTCGAGTGATTGGCTTGTCCGTCCAAGCAGCTTAATTTTCTTTCCTTAAACCAATTGAGTTTCCTTGGCTCTGCATTAGGTATCACTGTGTTGCTGAAATGTCCACCCTTGTTTCAGTTTCATCTTCCTGGTAGATGGAAACAGATTTTAATTAAAAATGTCTTGGTAATTTTTTCCATCCAACAGACCCACACCATGATATTCCCACCTCCAGATTTCACTATTGGTGTTTTGGGCTAATAGAAAGTGCCCTTTGACCTCCAAACATGGCGTGTATTGTGGCATCCAAAGAGTTCAATTTTGGTCTCATCTGACCACACTATATTGCCCCAGTATTTCACAAGCTTGTATAAATATTGTTCAGCAAAATTTAAAAGTGCTTCATCATACAATGGAGTCTTCTATGGTAAATGCACATAGGGCCATGGCAGTTCGTTTCATTACTTACTGTTTTCTTCAGAACCATTGTACCTGCTGATTCCAGGTCTTTTCACAAGTGGTCCTTGGCTCTTGGACAGCTGATAGTTCTTTTCACTCCTCTGTCTAAAATCTTGCCAAGAACACCTGGTTGTGGCTGGTTCATGTTGAAATGGTGTTCTTTCCACTTCCAGATTATGGCCACAACGTTGCTTACTAGAACCTTCATTAATTTAGAAATTCTTTTGTAAACAATGCCATCAGTATGTTTTGCAAAAACAAGGTTGCAAAAGTCTTAAGTGCGATCAATAGTTTTACATATCAAGGGATGTTTCTTGTGTAACGACTACTACTACTTCTTCTTTTTTTATATTATTTACTGGCTGTGTGATACCTTGGTAATGAAACATCTTTTTATAGGCCTTCAGTTGGGACTTTGTGTAAATTAATATCAGCTGATAAAGAGGCAGGCTTGCTTTCTAATTACTAATAGATTTCAGCTTGGGTCATGACGTCCATACCCGTTTGCACCTCTCTTTCTTCATGTGTTCAATACTTTTCCCTGTGTCATTTCTCATTATTACACATAATTTATGGATATCTATGGTTTGACTTCTTTGCACGTGTGAAATGGATGGATTGTTACTGACATCCTGGGGGAATTTCATGTAAATAGCATCTTTTGAAATATATTTACTTAGAAAACTGGTGACATGTTCAATACTTACATTTACCTATATGTATCTGACATTTAAGTCTTCAATTTTATATCAAGAATATGAATGCTGTAGCAGTCACGGGGAATATTAATGCTCAATATAAATGTTTAAGAATTTAGGGGGTCAAGATAGACTAGTTTGCAGCATTCTTGTAGTAAAGTAGTTTTGTTATATTATTGTTGGTTTAATCAGCAGATGCTTTCCTTTTTTCACTTGACATGTAGGAAAACTTGCTGCGAGCATCGAGTTTCTACAAAGCAATTTCCAGGTGGCTTTCCCCCTGCATGCAATTTGGATATTGCAATGTCTGAAGTGAACGTCTGCCCCCCTGTGAGTGGAAATCCCCCTCCACCAGAGGTCATAAATTCCAAGAGGCCTGGACGTGTAACCAATCAGCTACAATATCTGGAGAAGGTGGTGCTCCAAGCTTTATGGAGGCATCAATACTCATGGCCTTTTCATCAGCCAGTGGATGCAGTGGCACTGTGTCTCCCAGTAAGTAGTAAAACTGTAATTGTAGCACTGGAGTAAGGCTGCAGTCATGTGTATTTAATGTTTGGACCTAAGAAAGGCATGTTTTCATGTTCATGTCTTTGTCTTCAGGATTATTATACAATTATTACAAATCCTATGGATCTTGGCACCATTAAGAAGCGGCTAAAGAATAGTTACTACTGGCAAGCAGTTGACTGCATAGAAGACTTCAATACTATGTTCACCAACTGCTATGTGTACAACCAGGTAAGATGATAATAGTTATGTTGCTGTATGATACCAAAATGTAACCACAAAGCACATTTCATATTCCTTCACAGAAGCAAGATGTACAAAAATCAGAAGTAGTCCTACAATGAAAAAAAGTTGGACAAAAAAATAACAAAGTCACACTTTTGTTTTGTGTAACTTTTGGTGCTTAACAGTATTGGAATGCATCTCAGCAGTTTAAACTGTCACAAAAGCACATTTGCCTTTTTTTTCCTATTTAATGCATCATTTGTCTTTCCACAGCCTGGGGATGATATTGTTTTTATGGCAAAAACCCTCGAAAAGCTTTTTCTGCAGAAACTTTCTAAAATGCCTCAGGAAGAGTTCGTGGTAGAAGTCACTACAAAGGACCTACAAAAAGGGAAACACTCTAATGCAGGTATGTTGCATGCTCCTAACTAGTAATGCAGGGTCATTTTGAATGAGAAAGAGAAAAGTTCAAAAATGATATTACGATGTTACCACAGGAAGATATTAAAATTGCACTGATTTTGTTCACCATATAAAATTTTGTTCATGTTTAACTTTATCACCTGTGATGCAGATGCATTAAAGCACCGATCCCTCATGTCAGAGGTTGTTCTTCAGCAGACTGTGACAGTCATTCCTCCAGATGTCCCTCAGTCGAGCCTACCCATCCAGCTCTCTGCACAAACTGACTCAACACTAAGCACTGAAATGGTTTGCAAGCAACTTTCAGAATATACATAAAATCATGCAATGTTCTATTTAAGTAAAATGTTGAGATAAACGTTTTACATAAACTTAGATGTACTAGTAACGGTTCCTTATGCGATTGTCTAACCAAAGACCTCAAACAGTGCATGCATTTAGTATAGTAAGTGCATCATCGCATATAAATGATCATCATTAACGAATGATGTCAAAAGCTATTAATCATGTCTATTACTGATTGTTTTTGTGCCTTCAAACAAACTTTTAAATGTCAATTTTGTTATTTGTGTCCCACTGCTTTTTTTCCTTTTTTAATATCTAGAGCAAAAAAGGTCTCAAGCGGAAAGCAGACCCCACCACCACCTCAGTGATCACCAGCAGTGAAGTCTCCCCTGCTGAACATTCAGCACCTTGTATGCTGATCTCCCGCAGAGGCAGTGGAAGGCCCATCAAACGTCCTAAGAAAGACTTGCCTCTCTTTGAGGCCAAGAAGGTCAGACTGTCTGAGCAGCTCAGATGCTGCAATGATATCCTGAAGGAGCTGCTCTCCAAGAGGCACTCTGCATATGCATGGCCCTTTTATGTGCCAGTTGATGCGGCTGCTTTGGGTTTGCATGACTACCATGATATCATCAAGCATCCCATGGACCTGAGTACTATCAAGGTAAAATGTCTGAGCTGATTAACTGAAGCATCTAATGTGATTTTCAGTATATGGTAGATCAGTTTTCTCAACAAAAATGTTACTTCCTCAGAAAAAGATGGATCAACGAGAGTACGGAAATGCAAAAGAATTTGCTGCCGATGTTCGCTTGATGTTCTCCAACTGTTACAAATACAATCCACCTTCAAATGAGGTGGTACACATGGCAAGAAAACTTCAGGTACAGTTTATCAATTTATTAATTTCTTAAATCAGTAGGACAATATTTAAATGTAAGTTATGTTTCATGTTTACCTTCACATGCATTTTGCATGTCCTTAAAGCCGCATTCACATAGAATGAAATTCACTTGTCCGACATTGGTTGGTTGCTTATTGTTGGTCACTAGTTGGTATGTCTTTTAATTACATGCCTTAAAGTTGTACCCGCACACCTCAGCTTGCAAAATGGCATCGGCTTCCTGTCATCCCTGGTTGCCAAATTGCTGCTGGTTGCTTCCTCCGGGGATGGGGCTCTGGGCCTAAAAAGCAAATGTGTTTTAGGTGCTAAACTTGAAATCTCCTCCTCCTCCTGAGCAGATTCCCACTTAAGTGATTTATCTGCTGTTTGCTAACTTCTGAGAACATTGCAGTTAACAAGTGTTATACGATTTGAAACCATTTACAGTGTTGTATCATCATGAGCCACATGTACAAGACACTAAACAGAAGCACAACAACAGCATGCTCATTATATGTTAGAGTGCGTCTTAGCAGTAACTTGTTCCACACATACACTTTTTGAACCAGTTTAAATTGAACTCTAAAACCCCCCAGATAAATAGTTTTTCACTTAGTTGCAGCTGCGAAATGTTAAAAAAAACTAGTGTGGACTTTTAGGAGGAAAGTGTCTTTGCTTGTCTAACTATCTGAGCAATTTTTGTACAATAGGGGTGGTTTACAATTTCTTTGTGCATGATGGAGCATTTTTGCCACTAATCACCCCCCCAAAAAAACAAAACAAAAGGCCTTCAAATACAACTTATTGGTAAATAAATTGCTTTGACATGCCCCTGTAACAGTTGTATAGACTAACCTATGTCAGTTGAAGAATTACAGTTGGTGTAATTGCTAACAATACTGCAAAAATATTTTGTTTTAACAGGAAGTTTTTGAGGCTCGGTATCTGAAGCTTCCCCATGAAGCAGAGTCCTGTCAGACACCACATCAGCAAGAAAGGGAAAAAGGAAACCGAAATGGAAGTCTGTCAACTTCAGAAAGTTCTGACAGCAAAAGCTCATCATCTGAGGAAGAATTTTCATCCGAAGAGATAGCCACTCAGCTCGCCAATCTGGAGGATCAGGTCAGTATTGCGCACACAGTAACAAGCAAGCTTTGAGAAATAAATTACTTCAGTCTATACTCTATACTTACCTTAAATGGCTCCCTTTTCAGTTGAAGGCTGTCAGTGATCAGCTGAAGAAGTTTGTCCAGGATCCCATGATGAAATCAAGGAAGAGAGAAAAGCTGAAAAAGGAAAAGAGATCAAGGGAAAAGGATATAGCTCGGCTAAAGAACAAATCCTTGAAATACAAATCTGTTGTTCAAAGAATCGCAACCAGCAGGAGCTCTTCCTTGTAAGTGAACCTAACATAAACTGTTGGGCTGTTTATGCTACTATATAAACTAAACATAAATATTTCATATGTATAGGAAAGAAACCAGACCTCCTAATCTCTGGGAATCCATGGAAGATGAGGGTTCAGCCCCATTGGCACCAATTACTTACCAGGAGAAGAAACAGTTAAAACTGGACATCAACAAGCTGCCTGGTGACAAACTGGGCAAGTTGGTGAAAATCATCCACACCAGGGAGTCTTGTCTGCGAGATTCTACTCTGGAGGAGATTGAAGTTGACTTTGAAATGCTCAAGCCTTCCACACTGCGAGCTCTGCAGAGGTTTGTCGCAGAGTGTCTGACTAAATCCATCAAGAATGTAACCAGTAAGTACAGCGTGACTTAATCAGAAAATACAAGTTGGTCTGCTAAACTTGATGTCTCTTTACAGTGACAGTGCTTGCTTATCAGGTCAAGCAGTCAAAATCTGTCCAGTAATGGTAAAAAAAAAAAATAAGGTTAAGAAAAGCCTGGCCTTAAAAAAAAAAGGCAAAGCAAAAGGTTGGAAAAAAAAAAAAAAACCAATTTAATGGCTTTTGTTTATTTTTACTACTTTCTGCCTTTGAAATACATGCTGAAGACATCGAAAATATGAGGCAAAATGTATGGAATCATGTAGCATAAATAAACTCCGGCTTTTAAGGTGTCGCGGATAAATACAACAAAATAAAACTAGCACCGGTACAGAAATAAATAAGATTTATTCATAACACACGTGAAAAGACCCAGGAAGACAGAGTTAACGATAAAAACGATAACAAAATAACTCTAAAAACCCTGAAAAACATACATTTCACACCCGAGCCTCAACTCTCACGGCCCGGTACCAAACGACTCCGGTCCGTGGCCCGGGGGTTGGAGACCGCTGCACTAAATGAATATAAGATATTCTCAGTACTTACAAACCAAAATTCTGCTCCACAAATGTATTTAGCATGAATTTTTCAAAAATGGCTGAAGAGTAGGTTTAAAAAAAAAAAAGAAAAAAGTCTGTCCAGTCTGGAAAATAATGGGAGTTATACTGATATTTTTCTACTTATCAACACAAACTGATAAAATTATAGTATTTACAGCAAAATAATTAAACAATAAAAACAATGTTTTGTTAAATAGAAACATAATTTTTCAATTCTGTTGTTGATGACCTGTATGTTGTGCTTCTCAGAAAAAAGACCAAAGCCCACAGGAGCAATGCAGACTGCAAAACTAAAGGATGGCGGAACGTCTCAGACTGTCGGCAAAGACCAGCACTTAACTGGTAAAAAGAGGTCATCAGGTAAGAAAAAGATTTGTTGCAATGGTACTTCCACGTGTGAGACAGTGTAAAAATGTCAGTCTTGTGTTAACAGCTCAAGTCGTGGCCTCTCCTGGTCTCAGCTGCTCCTCAAGTGGGAGCAGCAGCAGCAGCTCATCCGACAGCAGCAGCTCGAGTAGTCTTTCTACCGCCTGTGATGTCAGTGACACTGAATCAGGTCTGGTCTTCAGCGTCTCCATCTCTTTTTTTCCCCCTTCTTTCTTACATGGGTGCCTTTTTTCATGAATTTGTTTTATTTATTTATTCAATTATTAAGGTCTCTTTTCTTTTTTTTACATTTCATACACACCTTTTTGTAATCTGTTGACATGGATGAGTCCTGCATGTTTGTTTGTTGGTTATTTTTTTCATTGTTTTAGTAGGCACTGAAGTGTGTTGCATAATAGTGGTGCCATTAAACAGAAAAAGCATAAATCATAAAGTAAATTTATGCGAGGCTGAAAAATGGCATCTCTGATGGGTGATTGGTGCAGTCAGGCATGTGTGCTCTCTCTGATGACAGGGTCTTATTGCTTTTTTTTCTCTCTTTTTTTTTTTTTTAAAGGAAAAAATTAATGAGAGCTTATGTAACAAACTATTCTTATTTTATGCCGCCAAGATATCTCAAATAGCTTGTTTTTCATGATGTTTGAACAGGAAACTTTAAGAGGCTGTAGCCTAAATTAAAGAAGTAAAAAATCTAATCATATGCTTACCAGCTACTTTTTTTTTTTAGGTATCCGGTCTTTAAATGATGACATGATGAATCCTGCTTCTGGGCCCAAACTACCCTGCGTTTAATAAGGCTGTTTAACACGCTTTAATGCTTTGTATCTTGTTCTTTTTAATCTCAAAAAGCCCCTAAAAACAGTCAGTGATCACTGTCAGCCTCTCTCGCTTTTTATTACCGCTATTCATTTCAAAGCTCAGTTTTTAAAACCTTACAATGCAACTACAGCCCAGCCCACGCAGCAGTATATTAATGACTAACCTCGTATTGCAGATGGATTATCTCATTTGTTCTCCTGACTGAAGTTTGGTCCGTTTACAGCATCCTGCTATGCGACTGCATTTGTCCCTAACCATCGGGAACCCTCGCGTTAACTTTTATCGAGTGGGAAAAAGTTAGCGTTCATTCTCCAGCTTCACTATGTTTATATTATGCTAACATAGCTGTGTCGCTAGCAATCACATAGCACATCATTAAATACCAGCTAGCGAAACTTCATTAACCCTATTTGGGCAACCACCTGCTTAAAAGTCCAGGTGAAAAAATGAATAATTAATTAACACTTGGAACTATTTAGCTTTTCTTGAAGGTTGCGTGAAAAGCAAATTGTTATAAATTTCACGGTGTCTTGTTTTTCCAATTTATGGCACAAAATGTGTTATTATTGTCAATGTTTTTCAGTGCTGAAAAAGAGAAAGTGGAAATCTAAAGACCATTGCCAAAAGGTTAACAAAAAGGTAAAAAGATTATCTTTTTGCTTTATTCAATAGATCAATGTAAGCTGGCGGGTTACAGTGATAAGTAAGACTGTAATTTCTTCTTATGTCAAAGGTGAGACATGCTGCTGGTAAACAGATGTTGGGAGGAGCAGATTTAACGAAAGCATCCGTCAAGACTTGTCAGCTTCTTGCTAATGGGCAGTCTGTAAAGGAAGCAGACAGGGAAGGACATCCAGCACAGCACGACGCAGCGCTAACCTGTGATGACTTCACTTTATCGCCTCCAGGTAATGTTTTTGTCTTTACAAATGCAACATTTGTCCTAAAGTAAAAAAAAAAAGATTTACCAGCCTCTTGAAAAGATCTTTCCACAAGATTCTTTGTTTCTCAGGACTAACAGTTTTCCCACCGTAAAAAGTACAGTAACAGTTACCTGATTTTACCACCACCCATTTACATGGTAGGCCAGACAAAGAACTAGCTCCTCCTTACCCTCCCCCTGCTCCTGGTTTGGAATATAATACTCATGCTTGCCTTTAGTTGGTTTTACTCAATAGTAGCACGTGTGTTTAAATAAATGTGCAGAAATCTGCTTCTTGTGTCATTGTAATGAGTTGAGAATGAATTCCCGTAATTTACTGTTTGTCCAGATTTGTCTGCACTTTTATCCCCCATGGGATCCCCCATGGGATCTCCCGTAGATCCACTGGACTGGGCTGCTGCAAGATTTGAGGTACGTCAAAAAAGGCACATTTCTGCACACAAAGGCAACTTTTACAAAATCTGCTTTGTAACAGCTTTATAATATTCCAGTTAAAAATGAACATGAAAAATTTGGGGTCGATATTAGACACATGTTTTATCATATGTTAGGAAATATGTGTAGGCATGTGCTGCAACTACTATGAACAGGCCAACGTCAGTACCAGCAGCTGATTTAAAAAAAATAACATGCCTGAGATGATAATGAAGAGACCTTTATTAAAAACGTGTAGTCTAACAGAATCTGCCATCTTTCCCAGCAGCAGTTTACTATTGCATTATGTAGGGATATGTTTTGTTTGTTTGGGGTTTTTTTCTCAGCAATTTGGAGCCTTCATAATTTGAGTGCAAGAGTTAGCCACGTGGAAAAACCTGTACCCACCCATTCCATGTGTCATAGTTGAAAGCTAAAATCTTATTTTTGTTTAGTACAGTTGCGAGCTGGCCCAAACAGTTGGCTTATAAAAGGTGTCATTTTTGCCTTGATTTTGATACCAGGCTCATCTTCTGCTCACAGTTACTTTGTCAAAACATTTGTCCAACATAGTCCTATATTAGAAAAAATGCATGGTGTTGTAAATGCAGAACAACTGAACTTGTTAACAGTCCAGATCAGCGTATGCTTGAATTTCCCGTTTAGGTATATCATAAGGTAGACTGACATAACTGTAAGCAAACAGAATTACCAAATAAATATTCTGTTTCATGTACCTGGCTGCTCCAGGAGCTTCTGCTTGCTCTGCGTAGCAGACCTCGGTTTTTAAACAAACTTTTGCTTTTCCAGCAGGGTCCAGTGTTGTCCCCTCTTGGAGACAGCCCTCTGCAAACCAAAGACGAAATAAGACCCAGTAAGTCGCTTTAAATCACTTATTATTACATCACCATCTTTAAAAACTACCGTTTTCTTCATAATGTTAGGAAATGTTAACTTTATTATGGCAGATTTCAGATACACTGCAGATCTTCCTGACAACCAGTTGATTAATGTGCCTAACACTGATGCTGCGAGTAAATCTGCTGAGGGTGAAAAACCCCAAATTCCCAAAAAGGTTGGTTTAATACTCCAAAAAACTGTCATGGTCATTTATCTCACTTTTATGTGCTGATATAGCTAGAAATTATATCAATGTTCAAGGATGTGCTGCTTTTTATGTGCATTATTCATTAGAAAGTGGTGCAAATACTTTCAAATGTGGTGTTTTCACCACCAGAAGGCATTAAATTATTACAACTTAGCTTTTTTTTGGTGTTTTTTCCCTCTAGTGTCCAAAACCTAGCTGGTTGATGCCAACAAATGCACACCAATTTTTGAAGTGAATGTATCTAAACATGGTGATTTCCCTTGCTTAGGATATTGTGGTGAAAAACACCGAGCCTTGGGTGAGATTGGGAAGACAGAGAGAGACGGTGATGCCACCTCCAATCAAGTCCTCAAAAGAGAGCTTCCAGATGTTTCGTGAAAAAGCACTGAAAAAGAAATTGTTGGATGAAAGCAAAGAGATCGAGGTTCCTGAAAAGACCAGGTGTTCACACAGTTAATAGTTAAAGCATTCGATGTGAATTTAAATTAATATGTAGATTTAATTAAGTTGTCTGGCATACAGTTGTTGCTTTTTGGCCAAAGTTTTAAGATGCCAAAACTACTGAGTTGCTATGGTTGCTATAAGCCAAGATATATATTTTTTTTCTCTGAAAATATAATAATTGATTTAAAGAGAGCAAACTCAGTAACTTGGGTATTCTCCTTCTAGTCTACAAGTCGCATGTAAATCAGAACAAAACCCACAGCCTGTTAAGGAAGTTTCGGGTTTGCCTGGAAGTATTTGCACAGAAGGTCCCTGGGATGCTCCCAAACATGTTGAACAGCAAAAGTCTAAAGAAACGCAACCTCTAACCACACAGTCGTCTTTAGATAAAGAAAGAGAGCTGGCCCGCAAAAGAGCGCAGGAACGTCGCAAGCGAGAAGCAGTGAGTACCATCTGTATCTGTTTCAGTGATCCATTTGTATAATTTCATTTGATTTTGGTAAAGAAGATCATGTTAAACTGTTTTGCTGTTTGTTTTTCTCTTTTATATAGATGTCTGGTATCGACCTAACCTTGCAACGGGATGTCATGACTAGATTTGAGCTTGAACTTTGAACTGGACAGAGATTTATCTGAAACGTGTTTGATGTCTTGATAGTTTTTTTTTTTTCCCTTTTGATGCCCTGTACATGTCATTAAACCTAATAAAATAAATGCTTCATTTGTGGGGGTGGTAGTAATTTGAGCCCTTTTCAAACATCATTATATCATACTGTTAAGAATTAATTTTGTTAATGTTCACGCAGAGAGTTTGATCGGACATGTTAGCGATGGAGGAAACCACAGTATACACACAATGTTTGCACTTTTGCAACAAGCATATTTTAATATGCTCGTCTTTATTTAGTGGAGTAGTTGGAAAAAAACATTTTAGTTTTCTCTGCACGGTATGTCCTTCTGTTTGTTGTATAATGCTGCTGAGAGGATTAAAAGAGGAACATTTTAATCTTAATGCACTTTTGAAACGAAACTGTTGAGATACAAATGCTATTATGTACATGTTATTGCATCCCAAAGATGTGGGAAAGACCTGGCGAGATTGATGTTGTAAGCATTACGGAAACCTGACCAGGTGCTCTTTGGCACAACTTGACAAAATGTTGAGGCGCCATCAGGTGAATGTAAAGTCGTGCACATCTTAAAGGGGCTTTAAGTGCAAATGGATTTAGTCCTTACTTAGCATTTGATAAATGCCTGCACTAGTGCCCTCTGGATTTTTGCCTGACTGGCGTTAAAGTGCCTTCATTAAAGAGTTATGTTTTTCTCTACTGTTCAGAGGTTGATAGATATGCATGGTAAGCTAGTTCATATCCCATGTACTGCAGTTTCAATGCCACCTTGTTGAGTTGTCTACTTAAACATGCAGCGGTTGTTCTGGTATTAAATGTTAATATCCTGTAAGTGTTTACCGTGGTTTTGTTAATACTGACTTAAATATACTTGAAATGTAAACAGAAGACTGTAGCATGTTTACACACTGACTTTTTTCTTCTTTCATAAAATATTCTTGGATTTAAAAAAAAAAGAACTGAGCCAGGAAAAAATATTACAGTACCAAAGTTTTCTTTGTGCCATTGACTTCTCAGTTCCTTGAGTACTTGAAATGCCAAATATTGTGTTAGCTGTACATGCACTGCACTTTGTTATTCATGCCATTTTTTTCTTACTCAATAAACCTTTTTCACTAAACAGTCTGGATGACTTTATCAAAATATCAGGTTACTGCACAGATGCAGTTTACTCATAATGCAGATGATTCCCCACAAATCCATACAAGAGCTAATCATATGGTTACCAGCATGCACCACAACTACTGGTAAGTTTGTTTTCTTTCATTTAGTTATAGTTGCTGTGCTGCATGTCATGTCAGAGTGCAAAATAAAACCCAACTGCTGGCAGGGCAAATTAGCTAAAGGTATATTATTTAAACAATTTAATCTCCACACACAATCTTCTACACTAATTATTTATTAAACTTGATGAAATATGAAGGAGCTTGACGTGTGTGTGTGTGTGTCAAGTTCACATTATTTATGCTGTCATGGATAAAGCTACACAAGAAATTATTAAACTTGAACTTTTATATTGTGCTTGATATTTAGCCAAGCACAGAATATATACTTTTTAATGTTTTCATGAATACAGAAACATATCTAAGAATTGTTTCCATTCTTTGTCAAAATCAACCACATGCTCTTTGGAGTTACTATTCATAACTGCATTGGTAATAGTGCAGTCATGAATATTGATAATCCATTAATTAGTGATGAGTTTTTGATAAATCAATTGGATTTAATTATAGATGAGGTTATTCTCTTAAATGCATTAAAATTAGAATCTAAATGTCTGAATGTTTTAGTAAATTTCTACAATATAAATGTGATGTAGCTGTAAATATGTTGTAGTATTCCCATAAGTAAAATAGAGGAGTAAATGTAAAATATAAATAAATGACTAAAAAGGGGTAGAAATCAGTATTTGTGCTTCAGACATATATAAGCATATCTATTCAGTATAGGTTTACTATTCCATTGTGTATTTTTTTTTCTGTGAAGAGCTTGATTAAAGTCTTGGATTTAAAAAAGAAACATCATGTAGGGTAGATTTAAAACAGGAACAAAACTGTGTTTATGAAATGCTAGTGCCATCCTTGCTTTTTAAATAATGTGTTCAGTTAAAATGTTTCTCTCACAGCGTCTCTGGGTCGGATTTACAATGAAGCATCCAAACTAACAAAATGTTTAAGAGTTAGCAGACAAGTCAAAATGTGGGAGACTAGATACATAGTAACAAACCTCCTGTTGGCTAAATAACTAAAGCTGAGTTTAAAGGCAGAGGGAAACACTGATAATCACACAAGCTTTATTCAGGGTGAGATGGCAATTAACATTTGTTAAGTTTAAATTTATTGAGTTAAACATATAAATAAAACTTAACCGTAGTTTGTTCCCCTTTAAGTGCAAATAGTGTTAGGATAATTCTTTTTACAATTTCTGTTTTTAAAATATAAATCCTGTTTAATTTTACTAGTGCAATTTACAGATTCGCCTAGGATCCGGTTTGATCCAAGAGGAGAATCAAATCCCTTGGAGGGTTTCCTCAGAAGGGGCATAAGGTGTAACAAATCTACCAAATCGAATATGTGGAGCTATCCGCTGTAGCGACCCCTTGTGAATAGCTGGGGAAAGGATTTCTTCATTTTGCCATGGTTGGGCCTCCATATATTCGCGTGAGCGGACAGAGGTCTTTATCAATTCCACATATCCAGCCACGTGAGGGGTTAAGCTAATCCAAAGTCGGTTAACTGGCCTCTGATGTGTGTTATCCGGTCCCCGCTTCGGTTTTCTAACGGAATAATTGACCTGCTCGTGTCCGTGTGTGATTTAGTAGACTTGACAGCCACACACCTGTGACACCGCATCTCATTAACATATCAATGCGCAGTCACAGCCTACCTGCTAATTAAACAGGGAAACCGCCACTTATTGTTCATGAAGCGCTTGGTGAGATAATTTAAAATAACGGTGATTATTTCACTGACGATGAGCTGAAGTCACGCAGACCTTTTTTTTTTTTATCGCAGCTTTGTTGCCATAACAGCGTGAAGCCGTGGTGCTTTGCAGTGATTTATTTTCTCCGGAGGTTTTGCTGCCTAACAGCGCCTCTTAGCTGTTCAATGTAAATCAACGTAAAGCTCCGCATCGAGACGCTTATTGCTCGATTTCGGACTTGCCTTGTATAGTCAACAACACGGTCTCCTGCCAAGCAGCCACGGCTGTCACACGCACGCGTGAAATCTGACGTGATGCTCTTGCCACCGTCCCATTCAGCCGCTTGTTGGGATCCTCCCTTCAGACAGTCGTGCGTATGCGCTGGTAAAGAAACAACGGCATTGTCAGAGCGGTGTTTAAACAGAAACGACCAGTTAACAGAAATCAATCAATAGGTAACGTGATCCGGGCTGATTTCCTGCGGCAATGTAAAGATGGCGAGAGTGCTCCACAACTTGCTGATATTTTTAATCAGTCTTGCGCTGAAAATCAGAGTTTTGGGGTATTGGTCATTGATATACGGTTATTGTGCTCTTTGCGCCATCGTAGCCCTGCTGAAACTTTGGTGGAACATCGTTTTAAGGCCGACAACAACCTTCCAATGGGTGATTCGTGAAACTCCCCCGGCTTGTCTGAATGACACGTCCTTGGGAACCCACTGTTATGTTAGGATCAAGGTAAGAGACACGCACGCACTTGGACATGAAAGGTGTCTGTAAGGGTAACAGCCTTTGTGTGTGTATGTATGTGTGTACGGACGCCAGGGTGTTCACGTGTAAAAAAAAAAAAAAGCAAAAAAAACGCCTCAACACCTTTCCGCCGTGTCGCGTCGTGAAAATCCAAACGGGGCCCGATGTTTTAGCACAATCTCGAAGCGTCTGTTTGTTTTTGCGAAGCGCTTTTATTTATTTATTTGCAATGTTTTTGGTGGAGTCAAGGCTTGCTGGCGCGGAGCTCAGGTGGTGCTGAAAGAACAGCTCCTCCGCCTCACGTCTCTGCATGCAGCGTGCTGCCAGTCTCTAACTACCAACCTACAGTATGTGTTCAGGATTATGTAATTAAAATACCAAAGCATGTCCCGGTGTGAGGGGTGGAAGAATTATTCACATCCTAGACTTCGGAATGACTACCAACACAAGATAAAAGCATGACAAGTACAGCAGCATGTACCTGTCATTCTTATATTATGGGATTGTCATTAGTAATGCATTAATATAAGAAGGAATTCTGATCTACTTCATGATCTGTTGGAGAGTAGCAATAAGTTTAAAAATAAATTACAGTTTTTCTAAATGCATCTCAATTCAGGCTTGACTTCTACCAGATAGATGCACTGCAGTCAAAAGAAAAAATTCCACAAAAGTAGCAGAGAATGACAAATACCTTAAACAAGTACTAGAATACATGTATACTGTTTTAGCGCAAGAGCACTCATCTGTGCCTGTTAAAGCATGCGCTTCTTAGTCATAAACCAAAGTTTTCCACGAGCAAATGAATCTGATATGCAGCGAGCACAGTGCATGAAGGGTTTGGCTGAAAACAACACGGTGCAGGGGAAATAATTAAAGTGAACAGAATAAATCTGCTGACGTGTAACCATACAAGAAAGAAAAAAGTACTGCAAGCATATGTCCATGGAAGCAGATTACTTTACAGAACCATAAAATTGCAAATAAAATTTTATCAAATATTAAAATGAATTGGGATGAACAACTAAATATCCGTCCACAATACCATTCATCCACTCCATCCATTGTTTCCACTTATCCA